GCATCTGAATTTAACAATGCGAGTGTTCCACCTCCCACTTCCCCAGCATGTGACACTACCCGAGGCAGGACGCCCAGAGCCCATCGCTCACAGGCACTAAAAGCACATTTAGATTTAAGCTGTTTAATGCAAGTCGGTAAAAGGAAGAGCCATGTAACAGCCAAGTGACCTCCAGCTCCTTTGCTCCACTTTGGAGGCTGCTGCTGCCACCAGGGAAAGGCAAACACTCGAGTGCGGGTCTTGCCAGCCAGGCAATGAATAAACAGGCTGGGCTACACTCAAAGGGCATATTGAACCAGGACATCTGTTAGGCCACCGTTTCCAAGACCAAATCCCAGCATTTTCTCTGTCCTACCACAAGGCACAATTCAGAAATGGATACTTTCCTCTTCCCCCTTGAGCGGTCTGGATTACAGATGTGCCATGAGGCGCAGTGGGGGAATGGAAACCCCCGAGATCTGAGCACCACCAGGATCCTGCTGCTCAACCTTCACCTGGAAGGACGAGCACAGCTTTTAAACTTTATTTCTTCCCAGCCAGGAAACCCTGCACATCTCCTGGCACGTTTGAAATGAGTACCGGGTTCCCACATCCCTGCAAAAGCCAGGCCATGTGCCAGCCCTGAAGGCAGGGCAGACCGCCTCAAAAACTCAGAGCTCCACCAAAGGCCTTAAATCTCAGCAAATAAGAGACTGATTTACAACCAATTTGTTTCACTACCTATTGATTTATACAATAAGCTTGTACATGGTCACTGTGGCTCTGTCGCTCTCTTTGGCCAGAGGTGGCTCTCAATGAAGCCAAAGGAAAGACTCGTATTGCTTCTGAACAGAAGATAAATTAGGGCCTTCAGCAATTGTTGGTATAAATTTGCTGGGTTTTAAAGTAAATAAATAAATAAATAGAAGCTGTTTAATCCTACTGGAAAGATTCTGGAAGTGATGTAAAGCCAATTCTCCAGCAGCATTTCCATAAAGCCCCCTGCACCCAGCACTGTACAAACTCGCAAAGCCGATCATTAAATCAGAGCTTTGGAGCAGCCACACTCTCCATCACAGGCTGCTCACAGGAAGAAAACAGTTTATTCAAAGCCCTTGATCCTCAGCCAGCTCACAACCTAAGGGGCACATTGGCCTCTCCCCCCTTTATTTACAGCTACAAAAGAAAGAAGAGCACGGAGCTTTTTTATCCTGACGTTTGCAGTCCGACTACAGAGCGGCTGGAGCTGGTGACACGCGGTGCTGGGAACCTGTCAGGGATTTCTAGGCACGTTCAGACTCCAGTTGGTGTCCCCTAAACCAACAGGAAAGCACAGAAATAATCGACATCAGCCCGAGATGTGCTGTGCATAAACTGCCTGGGCACCTCTGCTTAACCTTGGCAGGGGGAGGCTGGTGGGGACGTGGTGTTAGCTCTGAGGAGGAACATCTGAGGAGGAAACATCTGCCCAGCTCCCCTCCCTCTGGCACAGGGCACCTGAGCAAAACCCCAGCTCCTCCCTCCTGTGCTTTTCTGAGAGCTGAAACCTTGCAAGAAAAGCTGATTTGAGCAAAGTCATCAGTGGTCCTCACGTGGCTCTCACTGCAGGAGGTGCAGATGGGAGATGGGAAACCTAAATTGTGTTAAAGCAGGTGTTGGACGAGGCAATTCTGCCCCATTCCTTTGGGACAGCACAGACTGGACCACACCGGTTTTATCTTGAGGCTTATTTCAGTTTCTTTCCCATGCAGCCCAGTTGTGAATGCATTGCCCCAGCCAAGCCTGCACCTTTCCACCAGCAGCACCTCACAAAGCACTTTCCAAACTACCTCTGTCTTCTACTCAGCCATTTCCAGTTCACAGAACCACAGAATATCCTGAGGTGTGACCTCTTGGGCTTCAGGAGCTCTTCCTCGCCATCATTTTTAGATCTCACAGGGTGCTTCCACTCCTGGTACATCCTGAACAGCTCCCAGTGCTGACACTGGGCTTAGGGAACAGCCCAACACACTCCCTGGCAAAGCTGCCCTTCTCCCCACATGGAAGGAGGAATAAACGGGGAACAGGGACCACAGTCACAGGTTTCCAAGCTTTTCATTGACACATTCATGGTTGTGAGACACAGAAACCCCCCAAGTGCCCCAGCTCTTGCACACACACTCCTAGCACCCCAAACCTTGTATTTTTCCTCCCCATCGCCCACTAACCACCCCCAAGATGTGAAAATCCTCATCTCTTGCTCCTAATCAGTGTTGGTGGGTGGAATTGGCCTGGTTTCTCTCATCAGCATAATTTCACCCTTCTCCACCTGGGGGCTGCTGCTGAGCCAGTGGGAAGTTGAGCCACTGCTGCTGCTAACGGGCCCCTCTGACAGAAGATTGTAAAGCATTTGCTTCCAGGGAGGAACCAAGTGAACTGTGAAGGAGAAAAACATACCCTGCAACACCCAGAGAACTTGGTATTCATCACCCCGAGGGAAAGCAAACATGCCTTTGGAAAGAGAGCCCTAGACAGGCAGAAATCTTCCCATCCAAGGTAAATTTAAGATGCTGCCAAATCCACCTCGTACAGGTCAGTGAGAGGAGGGGGTGGCTGTAGGTGCATCTTCAGTGGTGCTCTCCCCACAGCCCTAGCTCCCACACTGAGATACCTTCCCCAGTTGTCTCCAGCCTCCCCCAGTTTGGCTGGCACTGCAGCAGGGGAGGGATGGGTGAGTTATTCCCCAGGCAGGCAGATCCATGGCAGCAGCAGTTCCTTCCCACCAAGGGTCCCACACATCCCATCTCCACAGGAGGCCACTGGTGCTGGGACTTTCTTTCCCTCCCACGAAAGCCTGGCCCTGGCAGCCTGGAGGGGGTGGAAGAGTGAGTGGTACCAGGGCAAACCAGCCCTGGGGCACTGACCCACCAACTCAGAAAGAGCCAGCACAGGCTGCTTCAGATAATTTGCAAGGGGCAAAGACAGAGGATGCTCCAGGGAAGGCAATTTGTTCTGCCCAGGTCCCCTGGAGCAGTGAGCTGTGGGACAGATCCTCCTCCACCCCAGGCTGAGCCATGCCCAGGTGCAGCATGGCCCCAGACAGGAGCACAAAGCAGCTTCCTCCTCCTGCCAGCTGCATTGGAAGCCCAAATTCCAGCCTGCACGGGCTGCAGGAACAGCAGGATGCCAGGATATCACCGGGATGCCCATGAAATACAAACCCAAGGGCACAGGTGTACAAATCCCATGATGGAAAATGTCCTTTTGGGGAGGTTTGGGATAAGGAGATTTTTTTCTTAAGTATTGTCCAGACCAGACATCCCAAGTGGGGTTTTCAGCACAGGTGATCTTTCCAGCCCGGCTGCCCTTGGCTTGGGGGGATTTAACGATGGCAAATCCCTTCAAACCCCTTTGACAGGAAAACACAGCCCTGCCTGCACCTAGCCCACAAAAAGGAGCTCATGAAACTCCTGAAGGGCAGAGCCAAGTGATTTTAGCTGTCCCTTGAAGTGAGTTTTGGACCACCAGCACCTCCTGGACAAGGCAGGGCTGCCCTGTGGGTGCCCACACAGCATCCCATCCCCCCCGAAACAGGTAAATGGGATGTCCCATCCGCCCTAAAACAGGTAAATGGGGTGTCTCATGCCCCCTGAAACAGGTAAATGGGGTGTCCCATCCCCACACCTTAGGGACATCTTTGTTGCAGCCAGCCAGTGCCACCACATCTGGACACTGCTCGAGGGGAGGCAGACACAACACCTGCTGGAAAATCAGCTTCAGCACCTGCACCCAGGCCTTTCCTGCCCCTCAACACCATGTGGCTGCAGGAATGCCGTGCATTAAATCCTGTTAGGGATCCTTTGCACGGTTTCGCCCCACGGGAAGAGCCACGGCGCTGCTGACGGCGCCTTTGTCGCGCACGGAGAGCGGCAACTCCACAGAAACACTCCTGGCTCATCCTGTGGGAGAAACCAGCGGAGAAAACACTCTGCAAGGCACTCTCTGTGCCTCCTAACCCGGCGTGAATAAGCAGGTACCACGATCCTGCAGGAGACGAACCAGCTGAGCTCAGGCAGCAGGGCCGAGGAGCCGCCGTGGCTTCCCAGCGCCAGCGCTATTAAAAAGTGCATTAACCCACATTAAAATCATGGCTGCAAAAGGAAGGCGGGGGGGGAGAACCCAACAAATCCCGGCTGGATCCTGCTCACAAACTTCTCCAGCCCGCTAGCAAAGTGCCATTTGACCTGCAGGGACTGATGGGGTCTGTGTGTGCAGGGAGGGATGCAGGGAGGCCGGAGCAGCTCCCAAATCGCTGCTGTGCCCAGCTCCACGCTGCCCTGCTGTACCAGGAGAGTTCAGATTTGTTCAGCCAGAAACCCACACGGAGGACACAGTGGGTTTCTTTTGTGCAGCAGCAAAGGCAAATGCAAACACAGCTTTCTCCCCGAAGGAATATTAGTACAAGCAGAGAGTGAGGGGAAAAGAAAAGGGGAAGGGAGGACAGTGTAGGAGCCCAGCATCACATCCGAGCCCAGGAAAAGAGGAGGGAAGGATAACCAGGAGCACAGACACCACAAACAAGGCGTCCCTGCTCGGGGAATAGGGTGAAACCCAGCGTATGGTGGGGGATGTTCAGCACTGATGTCTGGCTGAGCAAAAAACCAGCTGCCCGTGGAGAAGCACTACTCTCTCCAAAAGTTTTATCCTTCATTTAATCAACAGATGGACTGGCTGCGTGGGTTTGGGGTTTTTTTATCCCTTTTTCTTTTTTTTCCCAAGCATCCCCAAGCCGTACCCTCACAAAAGCTGGCGTGGGGACCACGGCGGCGTGACACAGATGGGATTTGACACCGGCGTTGGGGGGGATGAGCAGCACAGAGGCGAAGCCGGGGTCTGGCTGCAGCTCGGCGTTCCCCACAGGTGACAGATAGTCCAGGGAGCAGGCACACAGCAGCATGCCAGATACAGCTTCCCAAAACGCAACCCCTTCACAAATCCTTATTTTAAAATTTTTTAATTTTTTTTTTTTTTTTGCGTGGGAATCAAGCAGGTTGTAAAGTTGCGGGGTGAATTCCTGCGATTCCCACGCTGCTGCCAGCGCCGTGGGGAGGTGGCGTTGGGGCTGTGACACCCCCGCGGGGTGCCCACCTTCCCCGGGCTGCCCGCATTGGAACAACTCTCCTTCCACGCACCCCCCGGCACAAATCGCTCCCCAGCCCGGCTGCACAGCCGCAGGCTCCGGTCCCCGGGCTGGAGCCGCTGCCGCCAGCCCGAGCGGCTCCTCCGCCGCACCGAAACTGAGCATCCATCGCCCTCCTGCACCGGGGGAAGCACCGGGCGGCGATGGGGGCCGGGGGGGGGGGGTTTACTCAGCCAAGCCGTGTTTACACACACAAACACGATCCAATTTACCGAGCTGGAACAGAAAGCACTCATTTACATACTAAAGATTTTTCGCTTATTTTTAAAGGAAAGCACGGTAAGCCGCCTCGGCGGGGATGCAGGAGGGGAACAACTCTGCAATCCTCCCTCTCTCTCTCCCCCGCACCTTCTCCCCACAGCAGCCCCCGCACCCCACCCCGAGCCGGGGAGCCCCCCGGGTCCGCCCCGCTCGCAAAGTGCGGGGTCCTACCGTGGCTGAGCAGGAGGCAGCCGAGCAGCAGCAGGAGCAGGTCAGCCTGGAGAGCGCTCATTCCTCAGGGTGGGCTCGGGCTCGGGCTCCGCTGCCGCTGCCGGCGGGGGCTTCAGGCCGCCGCCCGCCGGCTCCGCTCCATCGCCGCCCCCCCAGCTCCTCCCTCCCCCGGCAGCGCTGCCTTCACTGGCGGAGCCTCGGCGGCGCAGCCCGGCTTTTGGAGCGGGGGGGGAAGGGAGGGGAGGGAGGGAGCCCAAGTGCCGGGGAAAGGGGGAGTAACTTGCGCGCAGCGGGGAGGAACGAGCGCGCATCGCCCCCTCCCCGGAGCGCCGTGCGCCCGGGGGGTGAGGGTGCGCTGGGGATGCTCCTGCCTCAGGTGATGCTCCTGCCTCAGGTGATGCTCGCCCCCCTCCCGGAGCTGCCGCCGCCCCAACGGGGCACCTGGAGCAGGAGGCAAACACCTGCGGGCTCTGCCTGCCCCAGCTCAATTTGAGGTGTGGGGGATTGGTGCCCATCAGTCACGGCACCCTTGGACCCCTCTGTGCCTTCCCGGGGGGCACCCAAAGCCTCCCCCTGAAATACAGAATACTCCCAAAAATACTCCCAAAATCCCGAGAAAAGAGAGGGGGAAGTAATATATGTCAATGATGTGTGTATGTCAATAATGCGTTGTATGTCAACCCCTCCCCCGGAGATAAATTATATCCACAAGTCCAGAGGGAGCTGGAGATGGGGGTGAGTCCTCTGTGAGACCCCCAGAGCTGCACCCTCATTTCCTCCAGGAGGGGAGCAGCAGCTCCTCACACCTCCATAAAAACATACATTGGAGCTGGGAATGAAAAATAAGAATACCCCTCCCCACCCAATAAAGTTTTGCTTGTAAGGAGGAGACCCTGTGCAAGCACTTCCTGCTGTCATTTTGCAGGACTGGGCAAAGGGACAAAAGGGCCTTTTCTCTCCTTTAATCACCATTTTTATCCTTTTGGGTTTTTTTTTTTAACCTTCTTTAATTTCATTTTCACCCAGCAGGAGTTTGGGGGCAGAGCAGAGGTGCCCAAAAATCAAACCCAACCAATAAAATCATTGCTTATCATTATACTTTATATGCCTACTGATGCCAGAGCCTCCCTCATCACCAGTCTGAGGGGCATGTGGGGATGGCTGAGGCAATTATTAAACCAAAATGAGAAAGTAATTACAGCTGTGGACTCTAATTACTGCAAGGTGAGTTTGAAAAAAAGGCAACACAGCTCTTCCTGCTCTTCTGGGGCTTCTTGCTTACCTTGGTGGGATCATGGCTAAACCATGGTCAAACCACAGCTACCAGTCCTGGGCTGGCTAAAAAAGGATAACTTTCTAAAATCCACTTGTGCTAACAAGCTAAACTGGTGCCAGGTGGTTAAACCTGGCTTAGGAGCATCGTGGAGCTGAGTTTTATTGATTGAAACACAAGCACCGCACGCAGGCTCTGCTCTCAGCGCAGGGGGAGTCACCCTGCAAATAAAGAGCTTTTATTATTATTTTTAGCCTGCATCCCTAAGGAAATCAAGCTTATTTGGCTTTGGCCACGTGTGCTGGTTTGCCCATCCCTGCCTGCTCGTGTCCCTGGGAGGAAGAGGTGCAGAAGTGGGGTTGGCTGCTCAGAGCTGTCCAATTCCTGCATTTCTCCACTCCAAGGGATAGTGGCACTCCTGGAATGCATTTTACACCAGGACACCACCTCCAGCCCTGGCAGGGGTTCTGGCACAGCTGGCCACAGCTGCAGTGGTGTCCCCGTGCCTGGCAGGTTACAGGTGGTGCATTTTTTGGTGTGTTTTTTTCTGGCAGCAGCACTGATTTAAATGTGCGTGGAATAAATTGCTCAGTGCCTGATTTCAGTGGGAATTAGATTTCTAAATAATTCCAAGGCTCTCCCTGTTGTGTTTCAGTTTATTCTGCAAAATGTTGTTTGCTTGCAGACGAGGGGTACTAATGTATATTAAGGCTGCTACACAAGTCAGGCTTTCCTGTGAAGCTTCAAAACACCATTAACATTTGCATGGCAATTTCTTCTTTTCCTTTCACAAAAAATATTATTCCTTGCCTGCATCCAAAACAGCAGAATTTTTAACTTCCAGGAATCATGAATATTTTTCTCTTCCTTTTTTTTTTTCTTCTTCTTTCTCCTTCCCAGCGAAAACATTTCAGCTGGAAAATTCTCATCATTGCAATACTGACCTTTGCAAAGGGCTTTAAATCCTTGAGTGGAAGTAGCAGGTAAGTGCGAAGTTTTATTAACTGATTACCTCTGTGGTTTCGACTACATTGGTAGTCAAATTTGATTTAGAGGACCAGGCATGTTAAAAAAAAAAAAAATCAGCTTTCTGACATAATTTTGGCTTGCTGCAGCCTGAGCAGCGTCCTGCAAGATCAGCTCCCCTCCACCTGATTCAGGAGAGCAAATCGAGTGCAAACTGATTATTAGCTGCTCCTCTCGGATATCTCATTTAAATCTGCTCTGTGTTGTGGAAGGAAATGAATCATTCCAATTAAAAAGCTGAGAAAATCAGGGAGCTGGGGGGAGCAGCCTTTGGGGAGGAATATTAAGCTGGTGCTGGCAGCTCTGCCCCAGTGCTGGGCCCAGGGTGTGTTCGCAGCTGCAAACCCCACGTGGGGTTGGTCCTTCTGCACCCCCTGCTCCCCACCTGGGCATGCTGGGGCCGTGTCCACATCTCCCCATGGAATTTGGGGTCACACTCCTGCCCTGTGTTGTATCTAAAGGCAAAGGGCAATTCCAGAAGCTGGAAATAGCAAATTATCAACCTCTCCCTTCCTCCTTTTATCCCCTTTATCAGTGGGGATAAAACAGGCAAATTCCTCTTTCCCCCTCACCCCCCCCTATTTTTATTTTTTTTATATTCCACATTGACAAGTGTAATAGATATGAAACACCACAACAATGAAAGCCCAGACTTTCTCGTGCCTTTGCCTCTCTTACTTCCAGGCTATTTACTGAGAAGTATTTACTGTGAAGTGCAAGAAACAAAATGTTCTGAAAATGCTGCAGCAAAATGGAGGGGGGGGAAAAAAGAGAATAATATAAAACATGTAAGCAGCTTGATCAAAATGAAGCAATATTGACAGAAAATGGGGTTTTAAGCAGCAGGACAACAGCAACTCAGATGGATTTCATTCTTGTGGTATTACAACGCTAAGCCAAGCACCTGGAAGAGAGAGAGAGAGGAAAATAATCACGTTTCCCTGGTTTAGAAAATCTTTTCCTTGTCATTTAAAAATACACATGACAAGTGAAAGCTGTGCAGAGTCCTGCTGGAAAAGCATGGAGCTGGGACTTGGAGCTTTTCCCTGCTCCTGTTTCAGAGGCTTAAAGCCTTCCCAGGCTTTAAGGAAACGCATCCCTCATGCCTCAGTTTCCCCTCTGCAGAGCACCACTCCCCTTTGTCACCTGCTAGCAGCACAAATGCTTCCAAGGTAGGCTGAGTCCTGACTGGAAAGCAAAAAAATGGGATAAAGGAATGGAGGAAGGTGCAGTTGTCCCTCCAAACAGGAGAGAGGCACAGCCCTTATCCCACCCTGCAGGATATCACAGCAGTTTTGGGGCTGAGAGGTCATGGAGGTGCCAAGGATATCCCTGGGAATGGCAGGCTGGGGTTTTGGGGGGTATTTGGGGCTGTGTTTTTCCTACCAGCAAACCAGGGCTGGAGGTGGATCTCCCAGGAGGTCACCCCATTGCTGAGACGCTTTTGGAGAGGGCAGAAAACAGCGAGAAAAAAGAAAACCTTTTCACTTGGCCCCAGGTAGACACTGCTTTTCCCTGCAAGAATGAAGGCAGCTGCCTCCCAAAATCCCCCAGTTCTGCTGCCCCTCAGCCCAGGCCATGAGAGCAGTTTGAGTGTTCCAGCTCTGGTGCTGCCTCGCTTTCCAGAGCAACCCCAGCCAAAAATGCCAGTCCCTTTCCACACCTCCCCCGGATCCTCTTTGAAAACAGCCCAGGGAAGGCCAGGGAAGCAGATCAGGAGAGCCTGGGCTCTTTTCTCTCCTTGTCTCCTGTTCCTGCCATGTGGAGAGCTGCCAAGGCCCCTCAGCCTGTGGCACTCCATAAAGCTCTTGTGCAGCGGGCCTGGAGCAATGTGGGCAGCACAGGCAGGGCCTGGGAACAGCCAGGGGAGGGCAGCGAGAAGCTCTGAGGGTTAAAAACAAGAAAGAAAAGAGCTGTGATGGTATTTTGGGTTTGGGTGGGGAGAGCTTCCTGCACCGGCCTGCCCCCCCCTTTGTCTGAGGGGAGCGGCTGTGGGCAAGGCTGGAGCTGGGATGGAACTGGGACCTCTCCTGCTCCATCACTGCTGTGAGTGATGCCCGGGGGCCTTTCCGTGCTCTCCAGCCTGAGCCTGTCCTGGAGCATCTCAGCGAACCCCCAGGGCCCTGGAGATCCCCCTGGAGCACCCCTGGGTGCAGGGCCA